CGCAGCTATTAGTTGGTTTTCAGAACAAATCTATCCCAGGCAGATTAACTCTCTCCCTCCCCACTCCTCTTCCTACAACTGTGTTAGCACCACCTGGCTGCTGAGGGAATTGAAAGAAAATGACTGACATGCTACCACAACATTCTCACTGGCAAGGATGAATTAAAACACAGACACAGACACAGACACACACACACAATGGCAAGCTATATGCTTAGCAAAATGGAGATGAAACTGCAGGGCATCAGCATAATGTTAAAGACTATGGGCTTTGTCCTCTCAGCATTCTCAGTGCTACAACAGAGAGCAACCTACAGACGTTGGGCGTTATAGCTTAAGTAATTTTTAAAATACAGGTAGTCCTCGACTTACAACAGTTCATTTAGTGACAACAGCAGTGGAAAAAAGTGACTTAAGGCCGTTTTTCCACACTTACAGCATCCCCAGGAGCACCTGATCAAAACCCAGATGCTCGGCTTTTGCCTCATATTTATCACAGTCGCAGTGTCCTGGGGTCACGTGTTTCAGCTTTTGTGACCTTCCGTCAAGCAAAGCCAACCGGGGGGGGGGGGGGCGCGGGCTCCATTAACGACCATGTAACCGAACAAAATAAATTGTTCACTTTCTGGGGCAAGAAAAGTCGTAAAATGGGGCAGACTCACTTAACCAATGTTTCACTAGGGAACATAAATTTTCAGGGCTGTCAAATTCGTGGGCCGGATGCATCACGCCCTGGCCACACCCAATTTAGTGAAGGGGAAAAAAAGGTTGCAATATGTCACATGACGCCACCACGATGCCGCCTGTTTGACACCCCTGTTCTAGATACTCATCAGGGGCAGCCCCATGTAGAGCTCTTGCTCTTTTTAGGCGATATAAAGTCAGTAGAGCCTGGTTGGAAACTGGTAAAATAATTTTCAGAAAAGCCCATGAACCTAACAACTGCCTCCTTAATAGCAGAAGTACGGCAAACCCACCAGTTTTGCATAGCACAAGGTTGCTACTCCATCCGAAAGGCAACACCTAAGTGTTAAAAACGTAGCTAGTCACCACTTCCCCCTCCGACTTTCCTGCACTGACACTGTAGTACAGGGCCCCCCCAACGTTTTGGACACCAGAGACCAGTTTCATGGAGAGAGGTTTTTTCCATGGACCAGAGGGAGCATGGTTTCATGTCATGCCTGCATCCCGTAGATGGGGCTTCGCTTGTTTGTGCAGACCGGTTTCTGGCATGTCACGGGTGGGGACCCGCGATGTAGTAGATGTCGGACTCTGGGAATTTACTCATGTCGGACGCATCGCTGGGGCTGCGGGATTGATGGTCGTGTGGAATTGTTGAGACGGGAGAGGAGAGGCATGGGAGCCGACCGGAACCGTGTTCGTTGTAATGCCATGGACGCTAGCCTCGCTAGGCAGCTGAGAGGCACATGGACACTGATCAGTCATCAGGCTCATTTCTGGGTCGTGCGTTGATGTAAACCACCATGTGGGGATCTGGGGATATCAGGTGGGTGGGGGGTTATGATCCCGATTCAGATAGATTGGGGGGGGGGGGGGGGGGTAGGTAGGGATACAGAAGGAATAGATAGCATAGGGAGAGAAAGGAATGTAAATAAAGATGAGGGGTGACAAATAGGCACGGGGAGGAGGCACGGGAGTAGATAATGCAGCAGCGGATGTCAGCTGGGAGGGACTACAGCACAGCATAAAAGGCACTGAGAGCAGACGCTCTCAATGCTGACTTTATTTGGGAAATACCATTTTTGCTTATCGGGGCTGGAGCTGCTGTAATAAACTTCGCCATACCAATTGTGAGTAGAGTGATTTATTAGCGAGATACTCCAGTACCCAGTTGGAGCTGAAAGTAGATTCCTATTGTAATTTTCAGGACATGAGAAAGATACATTGATATGGGATCCTTCGGTCTACAAATCAATAATGCAGCATCTGCTGCTACAGCCCAACTGCTGCTGTCTCTAGAATTGGACCCAACAGGCCCTGATGACTCATGTGACAAATTATATAACTTTAAGGGGAAGGGCTTTCCCTCTAAGGTTGGCTCCCCCCCCTTTCCCCCATCGCTACGCACTGCCCACAAAGTCTGGAAGTTATCTATAAGCACGATTATCTCACTTTTCAAGCCAAGTTAGCATTTTTTTTGACATGGTGACAATAGGAAGAAACTAGGATATAAATAAAGCTTTGCGTCGCTTGGAGAGCTCTAGCTGTGAAGCTTTATGCGTTTAGGGAGATGGCAGGGGGAAGGATGGTTAAAAAAAAAACCACCCTCATTTTTGGACGGAGGCATGGAAAATTGTAAGAGAAAATGTAGAATGAGAAGTTCTACCGAAGATGAGAGGGAATTAAGAGAGAATGAAAAGAATTGTTATTTTAGTTGAAATGCACAGAAAGAGAGATTAGAACTCAAAGAGGAATTCTAATTCCTCAGATGGCTAGGGGAAAAAAAAATCATACGAATTTGCAAGGAAGGTGTTGTAGTCTGTCGGCAGCCTGAGTTGGACAGTGGGGAGGAACATGGGCCAGTCTGGGAGCCTGGGGAGGACTTGGACGAGGGATCTGCGTCCGATACAGAGATGGGGCCAGGGCCATCTGGGAGTTATGTGCTGACTCCGGAGCCTCCAGAATCTGACAGCAGTGAGGCAGAGGAACAGGGGGAGCCTGTTACCAGTGCATGGTTGGGCAGAGCTGCCAGAAGGCAAGAACAGTTAAGACAAAAGGGCCAACTTGGCAGTAAGGCTTGGAGGTGATTGGCCCTCCCATAAGACATAAAGGAGGAGCAAAGGGACATGAACCTTTGCAGGAAGCAACTTTGTTCACACTGGTCAGTTTGAAACCTGAAGCACCGTGTTGAATTTGTGCTCCATTTGGCCTTGTACAGCTAATTGGCAATTTAGTTGTTGGCAGCATTTCAAGAAAGATAAAAGGTGCGTGCTTATCAAGACTTATCCTGAAGGACTTTGGCAGACTTCTGTGGGACTATTTACAAACTGTTTGAGACTCATTATGGGTTGTGAATGACTATAATTCACAGCCGTTGAAATAAAATAAAAGGCTTTTGGGACTAACCTCCCAATGCCTTCCTAATGTCTCAGGAAGCCTTGGTCAGAACAGAAGGATAGATTCTTCTTTTTAAGCCATGACTTTACCATTGTAGCTTCAACACTGAGCAAGGCTTTCTGAATATAGTCCAGAAAAGTCAAAAGTATGACCTGGTCCAAAGTTTTGTGTCCCATTTCTAGGGAGAAGATAAAGGATGGAGAACTGCTCTTCTTCCAAATATGGATTAACTATACATCTCTGCAACCCTCGTTATACAGGTAGTCCTCGGCCTACAGCTGGTCACTTAATGACTGTTCAGATTTACAACAGCCTGTAAAGAACCCCTGGTCATCCTAAAATTATGGTGGCCCCTCAATCACATGACCAAACCTCAGGTGCTTAGCAACCGGTCATCTTTATGACCAGTCATGGCATTCTGTGGTCACATGACTATGATTCTGAAATGATTTTTTTTGCTGGTCTCTGGCAAAAAAGACCCACTTGAATGAAGTTGTACTTATGACTCTCACATTCACTTAACAACTGGGAATTCACCTAATGGCCGCACTATTCACTTACCACAAAATTTGTCATAAAATAACTTCCGATCATGTGGCATCTCGACTTATGACCATAAAGACTGACTGTAGTCGTAAGTCAAGGTCTACCTGTCCTTGACTTATGCAACGATGGCTTCATCCAATCTACAGGCCCCACCCCTAAGGAAACATCTAGGTTTTCAAGGACTCATGAAATGCCAGCAGAGCTGGGGCGAAAAGAATCCCAGGAAAGCGGGGAGTTGTATATTGTTCCAAATGACAGGTGTCACAAAACAGAAGGTTCATTTCCTAGGTCCCAGCAGATCACACCGGTTCACAGATCGGACCTGAAACATGCCTACCCTGCTGGATCTAATGGGTCAGGCTGAAACAATGAGTCAAGGACAGTCTTGCAAATAACATAGCCCCATGTCATTAAGGGCTTTTGTAAGCTGTCCAGAGTAACTGAGAGTTAAGTGGGCAACCATACATATTTTCTCAATCAATCAATCAGCACCCAGAATTACACCTGGAAGCCCGCAAGCAGCCAATGCAGCTCATGGAGCCGCGATGTAGCATGCATGTACTAAGGTTTTCTCATAAACTACCCATGCCATCACATTCTGGACCAACTGCAGACTCCACGCAGTCTTCAAGGGCAGCTCCATGTAGCCCACATTGCAACAGAGCAAGGCCTCCCCAATCTAGGGAAGGGCACAGCTGGCACGTAAGATGAAGCTATGCAAAAGCCCTCCTGGCTATAACTGCCGCCTGCTGTTCCTCATACATGAGTTGTAAGATCAGGAGGCCCCTCAAGATTATGGACTCGACTTGTCTGGAACAGTGAGATGGAGGAAAATCTTCAGATATAAGCATTCAGCCGACCACTGCCGAACTGGTTGCTGAGATCCACCAAGAACCTTATGTGGAGTCACTTGGAAATTTAACAAATCACTCTTTTTGCCCAATATGCTGGCTGGCAGAGCAAATAACTGGAAAGAGCGAACGTATTCTCAACTAAGAAACTCCTGGACAACCTGCAAAAATAAATTGTTCTCAGGTTCAGAAAAAACAAGAAAGTTATAACAAAACTAATGGATAAGGCTTTACAAAGCTGTCTGGAAACGCTAAGAAGCAGAGGATAAAAGATGAACTCATGCATTTTATATGTTTATTACACTTATATGCCACCCATGTTGCTATCTAGAGCGACTCAAATTTCGGACAATGTGACTTGAGCATTAATCCAGGCAGTCCCTTCCAATACTTTCATGTACGACGAATCCTGGATCAAATGAGTGCAAGGCAGAAGCCACGGCAAACCCCAACCCAAGAAACAGTTCTACAGTTTGTCACTGCAAGAAAGCGAGTTTCACAAAGACGCTCCCTTGTCCTCCTTACCTGATATTCACTCCAATCGATGTTCAAAGGCTTGGTAAGGGAGATTGGGATACTTAAGGGAGCGTCTACATAATCCTGCAAATAAATGGGAATATTCATTCTTTCAATAATCAGGTGGTGTGACAAAACTAGGTTTAAAAAATATCAGAAACAGGAAAGTATCATTTGCTTTTGTATTATTCTTGCAATACCAAATTATATACCAGTCAGGGAAATCCAACTCTTTCAGTCAAGATCTATGCATATTTTACGGCAAACATATTGCTACGAAAACTCCCTCCCAAGTCCTTGGAATCTTAATTCTGCCTTAGCACAGCAGAACGATTATTGTCTTGGTATGCCCATGTTCCTCAGTGGCTTCCATTCTTCCCAGGGCACTGATTGGATGGCCATCCAACGTCTTACATGCCTGAATTTGACAGAAATTGTCATGCCCCTGTCAGAATCTGATTCTGAGGGGGAGGCCGAGCAGCTGACAGGGAGTGGGAGTGTGGCTCCGTTGGCTGTGGAAGAAACTGGGGAAGGGCAAAGTCCCTCTAGGCAGAGCAGGAGAGAGGTAGTGCAAGGCAGAGGGAATTCAGAGGAAGATCCAGGTCCACCTCCTCTTCATCCTAGGGCACGAGGGAAGAACGGAGAAGGGAGCAACTTGAGTAGTGCGGCTTACGGAGGAGGAAAGGGCCCTGATTCCCTTCATTAGCTGCAGCTGGGAACACAGTGTTTAAAAAGGGAGGTTGCACACAGCAAGTTGTTGGAAGCAAATTGTGAGTTATCTTTTATTGTCGAGGCTTATCTGGATTCCTGGCGTCTTCCCAACTGTGTGTGTTTGTTGGCCTTTCAAGTCTGCAATTCCTTATCCTGCCCTGTCCAGTTAACTGCTGCAGCGTGGTTTGTGTGGATTTTTATTTACAGTTTATAAGTACATTGTTTTCAGACTGAATCTCCTCCACTTAAAGACTGTTCTGGTGAGAGTTTTTTCTCCAGCCGAAGGTAACTGGACATTGGGAGCAAAGTTGGAGGTATTAAAGGGACTTTTCTTACTTATGTGACTGTGTTGGCTTTGTGCCACGCCCTGGGTCATCACAGAAATAATGCTTTGCCTGTGCTACGATTCTTACTTGCAAGCAATGGTATTGCCCACTTGTCTCCTTCACAGGCAAGGAGGAGAAATCCTATTGGTGATTATGGTTTCAAAAGTGTTTCTCAATGGGGAAGGCATGATGATGATGATGATGGAGGAGGAGGAGAACGAAGCAGCAGGAAAAGGCTGAAAGCATCTAGTCTTCTACTGGCAGCAAACACAGGAGTGGGGTGGGGAGCAGCCTGATAGGCACTTTTTTAGCAATGAGGCTAAACCGAGTTGCATTTTGTGTATTTTTTTGAGAGGCTGAGGATTGTATGGGAGGGGTGATGATGCAAAACTAGTGGTGCCGCATGACAGACTGGACAGTCACTTGTCCGAAATGGTATAGGGTCTCCTGCTTGCGCAGGGGGGATGGATTAGAAGACCTCCAAGGTCCCTTCCAGCTCTATGGTGATTAAGGGTGAGATTTCAGGGCTATTTCCTGCTTGGGAGAGATTGGGTTTAAACCCCTCAAGTCTGTTCTAAAGATTCCCTTCAGTTCTTACTATACAGTATATTTCAAAACTGTGGGAACGGATGTTATTTTCAGCAGTTGTATCAAAAACAGCCAACATCTCAGTAGAGAGGTCCAGCAACATCTTAGAAGAGAGGTCCAGACGTGGCCCATAGGTACAGGTAAAAGCCTTCTAGAGGCCTCTTGGGTTCACTTGGGGCTAACTTTACATTAGACAAAGCAACTGGCTCAATTCAGGTGACAAATGCAAAGTTTTCCTATCCACCTAAGCTAACATCTACATGTCACTGGCCTGATCACGGTTTCTGGGCTGGTTGTTTTCTTCCAACAAGTCAGGGATGTTGATTACAAGCTGAGACAAGCCAAAGTGTTCTTACAGAGACCTAGTTAAGATACCTCCCATTCAAACAGCATTTGGGCGAGTCTGTTTTGCTGCCTGGCCCATACCTGCTTCCAGTTGAAAACCAGTCCTTCTGCTGCGTAATCTCGTTCCTTGTACTCCTTGAAAAATTCGCAGCCTGTGCAAGAAGAAAAAAGGGGGGATGGGGAGAAAGAAAAAATGGAAGGAATGTAAGCACTCCTTGTAAGCGGAGGTAAAGGAGCTCCTCCTAAGGAATCACAGATCCCAGAGTAAGCAGTGTTAGAGCCACAGCTTGACCCTCATTAGGTGTTTAGAGCAGTGCTTTTCAAACTTGGCAACTTTAAGATGTGTGGACTGCAACTCCCAGAATTTCTCTGCAAGCATGCTGACTGTGGGATTCTGGGAGTTGGAATCCACATAAATTAAAGCTGCCAAGTTTTTGAAAGGCACTGTGTTAGAACAACAATCAGCCCAACCTCTTGCAGCAAGACAGGCAAGCAAACCAGGATGAACAATTCTCAGCTGGAATCCAACATAGCTGGTAAGCAAAAGCCTGAGCTAGCTAAAAGCTTCAGGAGCTTATTTTCAGCTCTGCCTCCATAGCTTATGTCAGAGATCAACTAGCAGTTCTCCAGCTATTAATCCCCCCTGAAGTTGGTACCTTGGAAATCTGACATAGAGTTGATTGCCCAGAGAGACATTCTGGGGGAATCCTCGACACTCAACAAGCTAAGGATTGTGGCTACAGCCAATAGCAGAAGACGACCACTTGGCTAGGAAGGTACAGAAGTTCTGGGGATATGGCAGATTCGGTACCCCTGCTCTAAACCATATGCTCCCGGACTGTTTTATTAAACTGCCAGATAGGATCCAAGGTACAATATAGGTAGTCCTCAACTTATGACCCCTCCCCCCCTCAAATCTGGTTCCAAAGTTTCAACATTTGCACACACCCCTATGATCATGTGACCGCATTTCGGGCACTTGTTGTAGCTGGCTGCACCATTCCAGTCACATGACCCATAGGCTATGACCTTCTTTTCCAGAGTTTCCACTTTTTCGACAAGTTTCCAGTAAAATTAATATATGGATTTGTTTAACAACCATGGTATTTGCTTAATGAATGTCATAAAATCAGGTCTAGTCACATGGGTGCCTCAACTTACAACCATCATGACTTACAATGGAAATTCTAGACCCCGTTATGAATATAAGCTGAGGACTATCTGTAATGCTTCTGAACTGAGAAGCATAAGCTGTGTGTGTGTGTGTGTGTGTGTGTGTGTGTCTTGGTTTTCTGCCCCAATGCTGAGCAAGTGTTATGTTACATTGCAATACAGAAGAGAGATATGAAGTCAGCCATGACAACGGATAGGTGGACCTAGGAAGGAACAGGTTTGGATGATATAAAATGCAAAAGTTTACAGAACTGTCCCATTCTGATTCTCTCTCATACATGCAAAGACTCAGGTAGTGCCTAAATGGATTCAGAGACGGGGGAAAAAGTATGTTTTTTTAAAAAAAAAAAAAACCTCCAACCTAGTTTCTTGGTAATTTTCAAAACCACGCTCTAGAAGGAAACTTCATCCATGGCTTGATGTAACTTTAATTGGAATATTCCCTCTGCGGGCTCTCATCCATTAAAAGACAACGAGTGTTTATGTGCTCATGTTTCCCATGTGACACACTCCCAAGGAACACCTCATAATGCACAAGGACTTTCCAGGTCAGTATTTCTTAGCCAGAATTTCCTGGCAGTGCTTAGCTCCTTGGTCTGTGATTCACGGAAGAGAGATCAGATTCAGGAAGAGCCAAGAGGAAAGGGGGAAACCCATTTTCAGCATCGTGTTGAGAAGCCAATCTAAATCCTCTGGTTGTATATTATCCTTGCCTGCTGCACCGATTTTCAACCTCATTAATTCTAATGAGATGTTGAACAGGCTTCCAAAACCAAGGGGGCGGAAAAGGCAAACCACACCCCACATCTTAAATAAATATTGTTCAGACACAATGAACCACCTGATCTTTTGATGGGGGAATCTTTCATTTGGGGGAGAGCCGCTTTCAGAAATGATTAAAAAAAAGAGTTCTTTGACCAGGTGAAAAGTTGCAGCTAACGTTCCCAATGAACAGTGGATAAGCTGCGGTTGGCTGGGAGCCTTTTGGCTGGTCACTCTATCACAGTCCATCTAACTTCTCAGGGTTGTTGCGGAGAAAATAGGAGAAAGAAAGAGCATGCTTGCTGCCTTGTGTTAAACCAGTGGCCTTCAACTTCTTGGGCACTAGGGAAGGGTTCCACGAAGAGACGTTTTTCCGTGGACTGGAGGAAGCATGGTTTCGCGTGCTGCCTGCATACATGAGAGGGGGCTCTCTTGTTTGTGTGACCAGTTTCTGGCACCCTGGTCTAGGTGGCATCTTGCTCAACTGTAATAACTGCAAGAAGGATCTTGGGTGTCCTAGTGGACGATCACTTAAATATGAACCAGCAGTGTACGGCAGCAGCCCAAAAAGCCAATACAACCCTAGGCTGCATTAACAGAGGGATAGCCCTATGCTGCCCCTTTTGTCTCAGTTGTGTAGGGATATGCACCCATGCTGGTGCTCCAAATGTGTGCATGTAGCTTAGGTCAGGTTTTCTGCCATGCCACCGTGTGAATGGTAATTCACCTGTTGTTGAATTAACAACATTATTCAATATATGATTACCACACATTATTGCTCCTCCCCACAAAGTTTCAGATAATCCTGAATCTGACAGCATAGTATGAGCCACTGCTTGTATTGTTTGGCCTCGTCTTTCTATAAAGGCATTATGTTGTGGCCTATATGGTGCAGACTTTTTATGTTCAACACCTGCCATCTTCAGTCTGTTTTGGAATTTATTGTTTATAAATTCCGTACCATTATCAGTTATAAGAGTTACTAATTTCCTTTTAGTTTTTCTTTCTGCAAATTTAAGCCAATTAAAGAAATTTTGATATGTTTCCGTTTTGCTCTTCATTAGATAACAGAAACCATATCTGGAATAATGGTCCATTATACTTAGTATATAACGAGCAACTCCCACACTTGGTTTTTTAGGACCTATAATATCAGCAAATACGACCTCTAGAGGCTCCTTTGTCTTAAATCCATTTAATCTATTTGCTGGTATTACTCTGCTTTTTTCTTGATTACAAGCATTGCAGTGCAAATACTTACTGCAAGGCTTTAGTTTTATACCTTTAGATAGTTCTACCGTTTGTTTAAGCATTTTAAAATTTATATGCCCTAAACGTCTGTGTAACAAATGTATGCATTCATCATGAGGTTTAACGTTATTATACACTGTGTTAGCTACCTCTAATGAATTATCATTTAACACATACAATTCACCTTTTAAAGTTGCAGTCACTTTTTTACCTTCCTTTTCTATTATGCAACTTTCTCCCCTAAAGGTAACTACATAACCTAGTTTAACCAAAACTCTAACTGAAAGCAAATTAAACTTAAGTTGTGGTACATATAACATTTTTACATTTTCTTTTATGCAAGAACAATATGCTATACCTTCACCTTTAGCTTTCAGTTTCCAGCCATTAGCTAACGATATCTGCTGTGAACTTGTGGACATCTTAACAAATCTTTTCTTATCATTCGTTATGCAGTGCGATGCTCCACTATCTACAACCCATAAATTATTATTCACAGTTTCGTTGCTATACATGGCTAACTCTATGCATTTTTTATCCTTTTGATGCCTTTTAGCATTCTGGCTGGCATTTTGGCTTTTTGCTTTCTTGCAGAATCTAGCCAAATGTCCTTTTCCTCCACAATTAAAACATTTTCTAATTGTATAGGCTGACGAAGATATTTTCTCTTCTTCACATTGTGGTTGTTTTTCCCTTCTGAGTTGATCCCTTTCAAGCCTTCTCCTGGCTTCTTCAATTAATCTGCCAGTAATATCAGTTAATGTAAGATTATCTTTTGGCAGAACTTCAAGTGAAGTTACATAGTCGTCGTAGCTCTCATCTAACGAAGACAAAATTATATAAACTTGATGTAGTTCTGTGAAGATAAGTTCTTTTTCATGCAGTTCCTGAAAAATTCTCTTCATAGTGTTTATATGACTCAGCATGTCTCCATTCTTTTGAAGATGTGTTCTAAACAGCTTTCGTGTAAGATTTATACGTGCTCCTACACTGTCTCGAACATAAATCTTCTTTAAATTCTCCCAACATTTCGCAGCTGTTTCTTCTCCACGAATATGGACAAGCTGCTGGTCAGAGAGTGTCAGTCCTATTATACAGAGAGCTTGCTCATTCTTCAGTTTATATTCTTGTATTTTCTGGGCATCATCCTCATCCTCCGGATCCCATGCATCTACCTCTGGTGGGTTTTGAATTATACTCCACAAACCTTCTCTTCGTAGAAGTAGGCTGCATTTCATAGACCATGAAACATAGTTTGTTCCATCCAGTTTGGATATTAGAGACAAACTTTGTAAATTGACTTGTGCCATCTTTTTCTGGATATTAAACTATAATTAATAAAACACAGATGTCTGTTTGCAGTATTGTGTAACTACACAAACTCTCACTTTCAAGCCTGTTATATCCTGGTTAGTCTGACTGTGCACCTGGGCCCATAACCAGTGTTAGGGATGTACACCCTAGCAGAACGTGCAACGGTAGTCAGGCAGGCAGGCAGATATGTGAGATAAACGTTGTTGTAGTTTACACTCAGTAAAACAGATACAATGTGCTAGTTAAATAGTTTATTCCAGTAAGATTGTTAGCATAGTCAAACAGTCCATATATCATACACTAAGTTCAGTCCGTCCGGGGATTATCCATTAGCAAAGTCCAGTGTCGAAAAAGAGGTCAGTAAACTTACAAATAATCAGTCCAGTAATATATCTCTTTTTGCAGTAGAGATATGAAGAAAATCAAACCTCTTTTCTTCGTTCAGCAATAGCAGGGAAAACAAGCAGTTATCACCATCAATCCATCATTGTCAGCAATCCAGTAAAAGCCAGCAAACAGTGAGCTCTCTTGCTCCCTCTTAGGGTGATTTTACAACCGCACCCAAAATACATGGTCTGCATTTAAAGTGATACACACAATCATAGTCTATATATATATTATTTTACTCAAACTAAGTTAGGTAACCATGTTATTCCTAACAGCAGTGTTCCAAAATAGAAGGCAGTAGCCCCCAAACTTTTGGGCACCAGGATCTGTGGGAAAAGGTGTTTCTGCAGACCTGAGGGGGTGTAGTTTTGTGTGTGTGCTGCCTGCATCCCACAGATGGGGCTTCAATTGTTTGCATGCCCCAGTTTCTGGCATGCTACGGACTGTGGCAGTCCACGGACCAGGGGTTATATAATAAAGGTGGGACTAAAAAAAACTTTAAAAAAGAGCCTGAAATATAGTTTCTCGTGAAGATTAAAAACTATACAGGTAGTCCTCGACTTACAACAGTTCACTTAGTGACCACTCAAAGTTACAGCAGCACTGAAAAAAGTGACTTATGATAGTTTTTCAGAATTACGAGATTTGCAGTATCCCAATCATGTGATCAAAATTCAGAGGCTTGGCAACTGGTTCATACTTACAACCGTGGCTGTGTCCCAAGGTCATGCGGTTATGGCTTTCTGACAAGCAAAGCCAATGGGGAAGCCAGATTTACTTAACTACCGGATGACTAACTCATCAACTGCAGTGATCCACTTCACAACTGTGGCAAGAAAGGTCGTAAAATGGGGGCAAAACTCACTTAACAGAGGTCTCACTTAACAACAGACATTTTGGGCTCAACTGTGGTCGTAAGTCAAGGACTACCTGTACAGTACTTGGCATCCTGTAGTCTTTCACCTCGAGTCTCTGAAATATCTTCTATTCCCAATTCATCTATAATAGTATCAAGTATTTTGCTACTGCCCAAGTTTTAATCCATTGCTCCAACCTACCTGGGTAAGGGATGGAAAGGAGAGTGAAGTCAGCATAGCGCTGTGCTTTATCCACTTTCTCAGAAGACGTCACACTGAAAGAGACAAGGAAATGCACCGCGTGGGGGTGAAATTCTTTGGCAATATTTAGCAACTATCCAATATTATGAAGCCACTTCACTACACCTAGAAAGTCTGGGTCTATTTTCTTTCACATTTGCGAAAGAAACGTAACTACATTTTCTGGCTCTCAACAATTAAGGCTGTAAGACAGTGCTGTGGTCAGTTCTCACTCTTAAAACCTTTGAACAAATGGAGCTTTTATTTCTGGGAGATGTGGATAACCACAACAACAAGAAGAAGATGTCATCATCCAGGAATTTTAGATTCCCCACCCCCCCTCTATAGCAATCAGGATGACTTCCTGCTTTTTATCCTCACAAATGAGATGGGCAACAGCACTTTGCCCGCAGTCATCAAATGAGGACAATTTTGTCAGAGTATATTCATGAACTGGAAAACAAGGTCAGCCAATGAATAGGCGTAGCAACTAAGTCAGCCAGTGAGGAAACTGAAACTAAAAGTACCTTAGGTGTGGCGGCTATGTTAAGCTCTGCAGCTCCATTAAGCTCTGAGACTGTTGAAGATGAAACTGCTTCTCTCCTCTGCTTGCCTGCTGAACTAAAGCGAAACTGATCTCTGTTTCTGTGTGCTACTGAAGTTACGCGCAACATGTTTCTGTCTGAGTTGGCTCCATGTTGGAGAAATCTACAACTGGTTTGTAAAATCTACTTATTATGTTTATAAAGATGTTAAATGAAGCACCAGCCATTTATTTTTTCTGGTGCTGAATGAATGCTGCAAAACTCTTGAATACATTTGTGGTAGAATAAGAATTTCACAGAATAATAGAATTGGAGGCGACCCTGGAGATCTTCCTAGTCCAACCCCAGGAAACCCTATACAGTACCGTTTCAGACAAATGGCTGTCCAACCTCTTTGAATCTAGTTATCCCTGAGGCTGAAGCCCAGCTCTAAGTTGTGGGTGAAGAGATTGGACAACCATCTGTCCGAAATGGTAGAAAGGTTTCCTGCTTGAGCATGGGGTTGAACTAGAAGACCTCCAAGGTCCCTTCCAACTCTCTCTTAGCATTCCTCAGCTGGAATGTGGCTCAAAATCCCCCTGCTGCATCTGGACTACATCACGCACAGGTGCTGTTGTGGTTTGCCGGTAGCAGGTGCGGACGGCTGAGGCCTCGGAGAGTGAGGACTGAGATGAGGGCCTGCGTGTGATGCAGGGATGGGGCCAGGACTATCAGAGAGTGGGAGGCTGCCTTTGGAGATTGTGGAGGCTGGCAGCAGTGATGAAGAGGTTCCTGAGGAGCCTGTGCCCAGTGGGCGTGCGTGCAGGGCTGCTCGAAGGAAAGAGCAGCTGCAGCAGCACGGGTGACTCTGGAGGTGATGCAAAGTGATAGCCCCTCCCTTAAGGGATAAAAGCCAGCCCTCAGAGGTGGGATTCTTTGCAGGAAGCAAAGAAGTTCTTGCACTTCAAGTCCTCGTGGACATTCGGTCTATCCTGGTTTGTTTTCGGAGACTTTTGGCTTTGAATATTTCCTTGCACTTAATCTTGTGGTTCTTGGCAGCCTTGCACAACCTTGACAGGGCTTGCTCTTATCTGGGAAAATTAGTTTTAATAGCGCTTTGCTGTGAATGAATAGAATTCACAGAAACGCATTAAAAAGGTTTTGCTTTTATCTTATGTTTTGCGTTTGTTTGATTTGAACGAGGCTTGGGTCAGAACAGGTGCTTACTTCAATCCAAACTTCACTTTCTTGTTCTCCACCATCAGGTCACAGATGTATGCAACTGACAGATATCGCAAGAGCTTGATGTCGTGACCTCGGACTTTGTCAAAGAGTTGCGAGTCTGCATTTCTGAAATGAAGGAAAAACAAGGCTTAGCAATCCATTAGGGGAAATCAAAAGGGTTTAGGAAGCCGTGCGTGCCAGAACAGCCAGAATGCTTTGTGGGGGCAAAGATCCTGAAAGACCCATTCATTTCAAGATATATCTATCTATCTATCTATCTATCTATATCTATATCTATATCTATATCTATATCTATATCTATATCTATATCTATATCTATATCTATCTATCTATCTATCTATCTATCTATCTATCTATCTATCTAT